GCGTAAGCCCTCCCTGCGCCGCTCTCCTTCTTCAAAGTAAAGGCTGTCAAACAACATGAGTCCCAGGCCGTGCAATCCTTCGTGCAACCGCCCTACCCTAACACTTAGGATGGCAAACCAACAAGACAAACCCACATACCCCATTCAACTACCAAATAAGCTATAACTGGGGAATCTGGAACGGCTACACCAGTGTATTTGGGGGGGGGGGGGGGTGGGGGGGGGGGACTGCAGTCCTATGCGGTTTAGGATTCTAACACACTTCATATTTTCTTTTACCTCCCATCTTTGTTGGCTGTATAATTTGTGTTTCCTTTTGAGACATATTTTTGTTTTGGGAGTTAGTCCACTGCAAGATCAACCTTGTGATTGTCGCCTGCATCGGCTGGCTTGGGCGGATGCAGACATACTGTTTACTTCACTCAAGTGTCTGGCTTACTACACACGAGCCGTGCCTCTTTTGCTCCTGTGTAAAATAACAGTAACTTACTGAACAGTTATTGTTGTGAAGCTTCGTTAAGTTTCACCTGTCCTTCACGGACCAGTTGTTATCGTCAACATACGTCTCTGTGCTGTAGCCTCGCTTATATTCTTCATAAGCTTAAAGGTGAGGTATATAGCATCGATTCCACCACACTAGGCTTTATCCCATGTGACTCAGCCTGTCTCCGCAGAACGGCTAGCCGTTTGACGAGAGCTTCTTACGAACTCCGTAGCTCTTGTGACAATCGTCATACAATCAGCACTCCTGAACTAAAATAATGCGCCCGTGAAAGGAACCCACGATCTTCAGAACGCGAGGCTAACGGCTTTAGCACTTCGCCACCGAGACCAACGGCTTTAGCACTTCGCCACCGAGACCAACGGCTTTAGCACTTCGCCACCGAGACCAACGGTGGTATCAGGGGGCCGACCGTCCAGAGCAGTGGCAATCTAATGGACGTAAATTTGCCTAGAGAAACCACACAATAGCCAGGGGCTGCTGGGGTTGGTTCTGCAACGTCATGCAAAGGATACGCAACTAACCTACCTACTAAACTTGTAGGGTGTCTGTACCCTTGTTAGGTTTCGTACACTTGTAGGGTATCTGTTCCCTTGTTTGGTTTCGTACACTTGTAGGGTGTCTGTTCCCTTGTTAGGTTTCGTACATTTGTAGGGAGTCTGTTCCCTTGTTAAGGTTCGGTGTACCTGTAGGCCGCGAATATCTCCGCATTTCAGTCCAGTGTGCGATTTCACCAAACCTTTAATGAATGGTCGTTTAATTAAAAAATTATTTAGAGCGGCTCGGCCCCCTCCCCCTTTCCTCCGGAAACTCAGAACCCGCACTGGGGAGATAGGTACGTCGACGAACATAACACTGCAGGCTCAACTACCACATGAATAAAATAAAGATAGTACAGTCACCACAGTGTGCCTGTCAGACTGGACCACAAACACCTGAGCACATTCTACAGACCTGCCCACTCTACCTACAACTTTGAAAAGACACCTGGCCTCAAGAGCAGTGTGTGCATAGCAAGCTGTGGGGAACCATGAAGGACCTGCAGCTGACATGCGAGTTCATAGAGGCAACCCGCCTGATGGTCTGATCTGAACATACGAAACCGAACGCAAAGAAGAAGAAGAAGATGTACGCGCAAGAGAAGCCTTAAAATGGATACTGCGTTTTCCATTCCTGTTTTTAAAAAAACCATTGTCTTCCAGGTCGATAAAACCTAGTGTCTTGGAAAGTAAAGGCGGTCGGCGTGATGTTGGCTACAGTACCCATCAGATGACGATAGGTCTTTAAAAATCATCATATGCTTAATGCACCACTGGCGTTAAAAAAAAACTCTGTACTTTCCCCAACTGCAAGGTCAGTGCTAGTGATTCACTGCAGCCCCATTTCTTCCTTCAACGCTGTTGGTTTGAACAGTTCCAGTAATTCACAATACAGACCTGCCCCCTGCCGGTGAGTGGATGTATCTTCAAGCCCTGGCTTTGTTGTGAGCATCTGGGAATGTATAAATAGCTCAGTTTCAGTGGGGGGGGGGGGGGGGGGGGGTTAAACATATTACAGGCAGTTAAATTACGAAGAATTTGCCTTATCTATCCATATCTCTCTCTCTCTCTCTCTCTCTTTCACTCTCTTTCTCTGTGTGTCTGCCTCCCCTGTATCTGTCCGGACGTGCTGTTTATTGTTAATCTCCAGATAATCTCTTGCATACCGCCTCTCGTCGTCACTGTTGTGTATTGCCAGTCGTAACTTTTAAATACCCGTGTTTCCCAGGGCCAGAGTGGGTGGGTGAAGGTGGGGATAATAGACCTACTTTCCTCAACTAGCATGTCGTAAAAGGCGACTAAATATGGGTGTTTCTTCAAAGTTGGAGTGCATTTGCAATACAAGCGAGAAACTACAACCTGCATACACAAAAGCCAACTCTGTAAAACGGATGTGCACGCAAAACTCAGATTCTTTAAAAGGAAATTCCGGAAGTGGACGAACAACCACAACTTTTCACCGGAGTTAACTGGTAAACGCTAAGAAGTATAAGTACTTAGAACAAAACTGACTACGCTGTGAGCCTGTTAATACACAGAAATACACAGAAATATATTATGCAAGTCAAGACGTTATCCCCTCACAGGCCAGCCTGAAGCCGGATGTGTGTAGCCTGACTGGCTGCTTTAACTTTTTTTCTTTCTAGACAGTCTTTATTGCAGAAAAACGGTGTTTGTTTAAGTATCAATTTGGCCTCTTTTGTGTGTGGTCCATACAAGAGTGTTGCCGTTTGTGTTAGGTGTTGAACTATAAACACTGCTTGCTTCTAGCTCACCTGATCACAGTTAACGCTGTACTACAATCCCCACCGCACATCCATTCTTTCCCCACCGGCAGACAATGTCCTGTTTCATGTTCAGCTGATGGTATGAAAATTACCCATTTATTATCTATCTGCTTACTGGCCGCCTGTACGAACATTATCCAGCTATTTTCTGTTTAGTTGGATATATGGAAATTATAGCTAACGAAATTAGTTACACTTATGTTCCGTGGCTTTGTGGTCGCATACAAGTGTAGGCCTGTAATCACTCACACTTGTCTAGTTAGGCGTTCCTGGGAATCATGACTCAGGGCGGCCCCCTCCCCTCCCCGAGATTGTTTAGGACAGATGGTTCTCAATCTTGCTAACGGCGCGTTCCCTCATGTTGTGGCGGACACCCCCCCCCCCTTTCCCCCCGACAATTATTTTCCTTCATAACTTCAAATAAATATGTGTTAGGCGACCACTATGAGAACCGCTGGTCTAGGAGGATAACGGTCCGAAACAATTGTTGAAAGGGGACCACCCACTGATGATCGGTAGACTCCCGCTGTGCATGCTTCCTTTGTGTAGTTCTTATATTATATGCTGCTGTCACTGTTGGCAGGCATACATACACGCGCGCACATACACAGGCGGAGATATATGTATATACATATATATATATTTTTATGGGTGTAACGAGGAAAGATCGACTTAGGAACGATGATTTCAGGAAGAGAATCGGCACAGAACCAATACTGAACTTTTTAGGTAGACAATAAATCAAATGGTTTGGATATGTAACAAGATTGGAAGCCGACAGGGTACCACAGAGAACAGTGGTATACAGATACAGTGGTAACAGACACAGAGGTCGACCACCCAGATATGGACCACAGAAATATCAGACACTGAAAATTACTATATACGAAGTGAGCAGAAGGACCCATTCTAGAGATATCTTTCTCCCCTGGCGCAACGATGCTTTCCAGGAGTAGAGAAAAGAAGAAAAAGACATATATTTATATATATGTATATTTAAAAGATTAAACAGCCTAAAAAGTCTATGGTTAAGCACCAGAAAGGAGATCAAAATTAGAATTTTGAGAGCATGCATTTTTCCTGTAGCAACATACGGATGTGAGTCGTGGACTATCTCCCAGTCCTTAAGAAAGAAAATAGGGGCTTTTGAGCTGAAATGCTATAGAAAGATTCTCAGAATATCTTGGACAAAAAAGAGGAGAAATACTGACATCTTGAAAGATCTGAACGTCAAGGAAGATTGGCTAATAAACAGCATCATGTCTCAGAAGCTGAAATATTGTGGTCGTATCAAACGCCACGGTGGATTGGAAAAAAATTATAGCAGAAGGCATGGTACCAGGAAGGAGGGGCAGGGGCCGACCAACACGAAGATGGGCACAGGATATAAGTGACCCTTTGAGTATGAAAGTGCATGAGGCTGGAGAGCTGGCGAGAGCCCAAGTTTCTTTTAGACAGACCGTGATGAGAGCAACGTTCTGCAAAGGACCTGCTACATGATGATGATGATGTTTATACAGTTTTTATACGCACAAACTCTGTTGCAATGTGTCACATTTCTGGGTCAAAACAAATCACTGATCACAACAACCAATTGAGACTTTTTCTTCCTCTGCCATAACATTACAAATACACTCATCAGGGAAAGGGACCAGCTGTGTAGGCTCAGGCTTGGATGAATCCTGTGACACATCCTTGAGCTGACCTATGAAGACAGCAAAGGTTATCTTCCATCACTGAGCTATTTTCTCACATATCAGCGATTTCATCCTTTGAATTACGGATTAGCTCATTGGTCCTGTCTAACTTAAATCTATATGACAAATTCATCCAGCCTGTATTCCTTTGCCTTTCCTTGTTATATGTCCATTAATCTTGCTAGTTAGTCTTCATTAATTTCACCAGTCCATTCCTTCTCACAACACACCAAGAAAACACTATCTGGGTCTAATTTCTATGTAACCTTTTAAAAATGAAGGTCGTTCATTTTCTTATCAGCAGACAGTTTTCATGTGTCTGGACAATGGCTGCCTTGTGCGTTTTCTATTATTTAAATGATTTACAGTGATTTACATAATGTTTGAGAAATTACAATGAAATTGTGAGGCTTCTTATTTCCATCTCCGTAAGCAGCATTTCAAAACATCACCTTTACTTTGTATGCATTTTCAGATGGCGGCCTGTTGCTAGGGGCATCATGCATGACAGGCCGATACTGGCTGGGGTCTCTTTGGTTTTATCAGACCCCAGAAGCAGCTCCAAATGTGGACAAATGCACGGCTGGAGTGCAACTAGAGGCGGGTATATGTGACTGCGAATGGATCGACAGGACACACATCATTGTTGGTTTAGACACAGGTGAGCTAGTGTGCATTTTACTGGTCAGTTGGAGAAAAGTCCAATGGCAGAATGGGCATATGATGCTAGACTTATATTTTTTTAGGAATAATTAGCGCATTGGGGGTGGGGGGGGGGAGGCATGCACGCACATACATAAACACACACTAAATATATATGGAAACAGTGGCTTTATCTGATGCAGCACGCAGTGTTTCACAAAATCACCTTCATTTTTGTCCCAGGGTATGCTAGTTTGAAAGGCAGTGAGAGAGCAGATACACTGGCTGGCAGTGCGACTGTCTTGAATATACATCTATAGACAGGAGAGACATCAGTGCCATACGAGAGCTAAACACTGTGAGACGTTCAGGTTCATGGAAAATAATTTTTCACTGAATAGACTGCATACCCTAGGTGTACCAGCTGGAGCCGCGAGACGGGAAAACCATGTGGGACCCGCCCGTCGTTACATCAACCAGAACAGAATGGGAGTTGTTAGCCTAAAAACACTTGGAGACATACTCAAGAGGAGATTGGAGAACTTATGGTCATGTCCCATGTCCGATGTAGATGATCTTTAAATGCATAATGAACAATGTGTGATATTTAGTTTTAAACAACCGATCAGCATCATGGCACAAGGGCAGTACCCCATAAGTGCTCCTACTTCTAACACAAGCCTGAGTCCGAAGAATCTCAGCGCAGTGCATGAACTCCGTAGCACCGGAACTGAGCACTGGTGAGGATCCTGAAATACTTTGGGTAGATTTTAACTCCAGATTTTGCCCGGACAGAACTGTTAGGGTACTCTTTTCGGTTTCCAACTGCCAAAGTATTTGTTGTCCGCGCAACAGTACACACCGGCGTACAGTCTTACTACCCAAAGACCATGTGAAATTACTAGAAGTCCACGTGAAAAAACCTCAGCCTTCACCAGAGCCTGAACCTGGGACCACCAGCCCTCAAGGCTGAATCCATGTCTCGAGACCATTCAGCCCCAACATGTTGTAGAAGTCGTGTAATTACAGGTGTTTCCTTTAAATCCAAAGTTTAACTATGTGAGAGGTGAGGAGCCAACAGTCTGCATGCAAATAAGCCAGGTCTGTAAAACAGAAATGAATGCAAAACGTAAGTTCTGGAACAAGACTACAGGTTGGAAGTAGGTGTACAACCAGAACTTCCTGCCTGAGTTTACAGCTGGTGAACACAAGTCAAGATACAGCCTGTGCACCACTAGCGTAAACAGGGTCCATGACTTGACTCACCATCTTTTTGGTTTGCCTCATGATTTACATAGATTCATCTTTTTGATGTACACAGTGTTTGTCTCTCTATTATCTATGTTTATAACAAAAAATTAACACATTTTTCTTTGACAAATCCTTCAGGAGGTATAGCAGTATGGAACTTGGAGGATGACTACCACACATTTGTACTATCACATGCTGCAGCCGGACATGATGACGTTGTCACCAGCGTGTCAGTTGTCTGTGACAAGACTAAGGCAGCTTCCAGTGGTATTGACAGATGGTAATTAATGCTTCTCATGTTTAGTTCCATTGATTCATTGGTGAATGCTTAAGAAGATGAGGCTTCATGAATCCCAAGGAAAGCTAGAGGAAGTTGCCTAATAGTTAGTACCTGCCTTTAAATGGGATGAAAACCGCACACATCATTTTCAGTCTGTCCACCCAACCCCCAGAAAGATTCACTTAGGTATGGCATACAAGCACTGAAGCATGTTGACTCACCATCGTACCTAAGGGGTAACCTTTGACCTAATACTCCCTGGAGAAAACATAAAAAAAAAAATCAGAGCAAGGGATTCAAGTGAACTCAACTGATGAGGAAGTTAGCAAACTTAAGTGTCTTGAAGACAGCCTATCCAGGTTATGTGAGGCCAAATTGAATATGAGATAGCTGCTTGGGGCACGGCAGCTAAATCACATTTTCAGAAAGTTTCAAACATTCAAAATCACACTTTCTGCATTATGACGGGGGCATATCAGCCCATATCAGTCATGGAAACAATTACTGGTCTCTATTGGAAGATACAAAGATGCTCATTTAGCTCTCCACTGGAAAGAATAACCCATGCACAGCCGACTGCAGAAACCCCCAGAGGGCTAGATTGAAGAGAACATATTTCATTAATAATGCAAATGCCAAGATCTGCTACTGAGATCATACAAACCACTGCCTATCATGGCCTACTTCTTCTGTGGTATCTTCAGTAGGGTTTCTACATTCCCTTAGTTGAAGGAGGGCCAAAGTTAAATTCTGCAGCACTATTTTAACTCACTTTTGTAGACTGGATCACTCTTAACTTGAATTCGGCACTGTACAGAAATCTTTTCTTAGATATTTATGGGCTAAACCAGATGTAACAAGGACGAAACATTGATCGTAAGGACAAGTGCAAAAACTCTACCAGTATTCTCAAAGGAGACCGTACTAACCATTGTGTCAGAATACTTCTAGATTGATTGACCTTTGAGATTCTGTGAGGTAAGAATGAAAGTAGCGACCATAAGCACACAAGCAAATACACTCGCTCATTTAAACATGGACAAACTCAAATATACCTATCACATTTCATCCTGCAGTGGTCTTTCTGCCTTTCTTTCTTTTTTTCCCCTCTGTCTTTTTCTCTTTTCTAACCAAAACAATCATCTTCCATTCCTACTACACACCTCTCCAAGTTTAAAATCTGTGCCCCTGGCTATACCTCTTTCCGGTAAGGATATCCAATCACTTTATGCATGTTGCATATAAGTGTCTTCATGGCAAAATGGTCGTCATTAATCTTATGCTTTGAAGGCTGAGGTTTTGTTTCACCGACTGTGCCGTTTGGTTCATGAGTGTGATATTTACCGAAATCCTTGGAAAACATTGCTAGAGCTACAGAGTTTGTGCTTTACCTGACGATCTGAACAGGAGGCTCGCCATTCTGCACTGAGAAGCCAAGCCATTTGGAGTGAAACCAAGTTCAGTGAAGCTGATCTTCTTAAGTTCAACTTTATATACCTTATTCTAATGTTACTAACAGATTTCATTGATAGGCTTCCTTATCTGCTATCCACAGTATAAAGTTGTGGGATTTGTCCAATGCCTCCCTGGTGTACACATCGCAAGGTAAATATTATCGTCTTTGTTTCAGATCTGTAAATGCAACCTCTCAAAATATATGACAGGGCTGTGTGCACATGTAGTTTGGTATTCCAGGGCAGTTGTTTTAGAATGTTTGCAAAGGACACCCCCATGTATCTTAGGACACCCCCAATTATCTTAGGACACCCCCAATTATCTTAGGACACCCTCAATTATCTTAGGACACCGCCAATTATCTTAGGACACCCACAATTATCTTATGGGACCTCAATTTTTAGGGGGGGGGGGCAAGAGAAATAATAAGCCCTCTGCGTTCGTGACAAATGGGTCATAAGAGGGTTTGCTGAAATTAGATATTAGGTCAAAATATGCAGATATCATAGCCTAGCTATAATATGATAATAATATAGGAACCTCCCCAGAATGGTGAAAGAATAATATAGGAACCTCCCCAGAATGGTGAAAGAATAATGTAGGAACCCCCAAAATGGTGATAAAATAATATAGCAACTAGGGCTGTACCGAATAGTGATTTTCACTATTCTGCCGAATACGAATACAAATAGTGTATCATCAGGTGCCTTGCCGACTGGCGTTGGCGATTTTTACCTCGCCACAATCTGCGATCTCCTGCAGCATCTATCAGTTCGTGTGCTGACACCCCTCCATGCTATGCAACAAGACTGTCAAGAATCTTCTCATTGTCTTTCTTTATCTCTCCATCCACAGATTTTTCCAGTGGTCACCACATGTTCCATTTTCCCTCTTCTCATAACATGGCCGAAAAATGATGACTGTCTCCTTCTGATGTATGTGATAAGTTGTCTTCGGGCTCCCGCCTCTTTCAAAACCTCTTGGTTGCTTTTTTTTTAAAAGTTATTTTAAGCATTGTTCTGTCAAACCACATTTCTGAGGCCTCAAGAAATTGTTTGGCTTGCCTGCCGATTGTCCAGGACACAACCATATGTTAAAATTGGATGTATGCAGCAAGCAAGAATTCTTTTTCTAACATTCAATGACAAAGATACATTGCATAAGATGTTCTTCATTTTATAAAATGCAGTTTTTGCCTGTCCCTTTCTGTTTCTTATTTCAGTAATGCATCTTTCATCGGATGTTATCCATATGCCAAATTCGCATATAAATCATCGTTTGCTCGGCCGTTCATTCGACTTAATTTAAACGCACCTTCAAATTCTTGTTAGGAATATCTTCAGATTTGATTTGGGCAAAGACACCCTGAAAGAACGAAAAAATACATGATATCTCTCTCTCTCTCTCTCTCTCTCTCTCTCTCTCTCTCTCTCTCTCTCTCTCTCTCTCTCTCTCTCTCTCTCTCTCTCTCTCTCTCTCTCTCTCACACACACACACACAGATACACACTCACACAAGCACACACACACACACACACAAAAATCGCATTGCCTTTAAATAAATGTGCTTACTTATCTGCTGCACCTTCAGGAATACAGATGGAGAATCGGTCGCATGTCGGGATAAACACAAAGACAAACGCTGCGGTTGGCATTTTATGCAATATAATAAACTTTGAGTGTGAAACATGAGAGAAAAAGACATTTTTTTTTTTTACAATGGTGAGGAAAGACAATTTGAATTTCAACTTTTAAGTATCTTCTTGCCGTCTTTAATAATTTAATAATTTATAGCTGACTTTTCTTGATTTTTGCCGCGGCACTCCTGGCTTACGCACCCAGTTTGAAAACCTCTGCTGTAATGCCTAAAACAAGTCAGCAGGCAAAGACCACGGCCGACTCAGTCTGGAGGAGGCGGTGGACAAACTTAGGCAACGGCAACTATTGTGTTAATGAGAGAGTTATTTCAGTCCATTGCTGTGTGTGCAGAAATCACTATTCGTATTCGGCCCGACCGCCACTATTCGGCCAAATACCGAATAGCTATTAGGTCCACTATTCGGCCCCGAAGCGAAGCCCTAATAGCAACCTCCCCAGAATGGTGAAAGAATAATGTAGGAACCTCCAGAATAGTGAAAGAGAATAATGTAGGAACCCCCAAAAAGGTGATAGAATAATATAGCAACCTCCACAATGGTAATAGAATAATATAGGAACCTCTAGAGTGGTGGTAGAATAATATAGAAACCTCCAGAATGGTGATAGAATAATATAGGAACCTCCACAATGGTGATAGAATAATATTGGAAGCTCCAGAGTGGTGATAGAATAATATTGGAAGCTCCAGAGTGGTGATAGAATAATATAGGAACCTCCAGAGTGGTGATAGAATAATATAGGAACCTCCACAATGGTGATAGAATAATATAGGAACCTCCACAATGGTGATAGAATAATATAGGAACCTCCAGAATGTTGATAGAATAATATTGGAAGCTCCAGAGTGGTGATATAATAACATTGGAACCTCCACAATGGTGATAGAATAATATAGGAACCTCCACAGTGGTGATAGAATAATATAGTAACCTCTAGAGTGGTGATAGAATAATATTGGAAGCTTCAGAGTGGTGATAGAATAATATTGGAAGCTCCAGAGTGGTGATAGAATAATATTGGAAGCTCCAGAGTGGTGATAGAATAATATAGGAACCTCCAGAGTGGTGATAGAATAATATAGGAACCTCCACAATGGTGATAGAATAATATTGGAAGCTCCATAGTGGTGATAGAATAATATAGGAACCTCCACAATGGTGATAGAATAATATAGGAACCTCCACAATGGTGATAGAATAATATAGGAACCTCCACAATGGTGATAGAATAATATAGGAACCTCTAGAGTGGTGATAGAATAATATTGGAACCTCCACAATGGTGATATAATAATATTGGAAGCTCCAGAGTGGTGATATAATAATATTGGAAGCTCCAGAGTGGTGATATAATAATATTGGAAGCTCCAGAGTGGTGATAGAATAATAAAGGAACCTCCAGAGTGGTGGTAGAAATAATGTGTTACAAGTTTCATATTTTTATTTTAATATGGCCTCCACCACATTGACTACATTTACTTCCCATGACATTTCCTAGTATCCATCTTACACTGAATCAACATGGGAGCCAGGTTTTGTTTAAAATACCCACAGAGCAGTGATATGTAAAAGGGAATTGACAAATTCCTTGTGTGGTTTCAGGGGCCCCATTGTGGAGAAAACAAGAATAGACCAATGGCCTCTCTAACAAGCATTTCGTATGAGGGTTTCTTTTGAAGTCAGAGTGCATCTGCCTGAGAGGCAAGGAACCCGCAATCTGCATACAAATAAGTCAGATCAGTAAAATGGATGTGCACACAACACTTGGGTTCTGGAACAAGTTAGGTGAATGAATAACAAGAACTTTCTGCTGGAGTTGTCAGCTAGCAAAAGAAAAGAGCTGACAGATCCTATAAAAAATGGTTTCATCATCATACCTGGTCTCGGA